ACTTTGTGGTGGAATCTATGGAGTTTAACGTTTCACAAATCTAAGTTGAGGTCCACCCTTCACCTAGTATCAAGGTTTAGAAACTTAAGTTTTATTAAGCGTTTAAATTGACCACATTTTTTGGTAGACTCCATACCTGTGCGTTTGATGCCTAACGTTTTAGTTTTGATGCAATATTTGTTCTACGCTTGCCAAGTTCTAGTGCCATAGATCTCTACATATTTTAACTTTCTTAAAAACTGGAAAAGAATTTTTTTGTCGCGTTTCGGAACCCGCCCACCTGACGGCAAGCTGAAAATGTCTTCCTTACATTTTCTCTATTCATTACTGCATTTTAAGTACTATGAATACACAAAAGAAATTTGTTCTAAAATGGTTCAAGACTGCTATAATAATGAAACGCGTGTTTCTCTCAGATTCCAGAGGTTAAATCATTAACTTCTTTGAGCGTCAGGTTAAGTCTTTCTGAGGACTTCCCTGAAAGGTTATGTAGTTATAGAAAATTATTGTTGTGGTAATTATCATTTTCTGGAGCTTCAACTGAGAGTTGATTTTTGTTGGTAGGTGATATAATGACTTTTTAACAAGACTTCATGCGCGCTATATCACGGACAATGGAAAAGCACAGATATTTGCTTAACAATAGACGTAAGTAACTCATACTAACATAGGTAAGCATTATCGTAATTTACAAAACTTTTGCAGTCATACTTTCACGTCAATGAACCATTGAATAATAAAAAGAAAATTTATTAGTCACAAAATGTCTGTCGCAACTGTGCATAGTGGATTTGTTGATATACAAAATGTGTCGTATAGTCTTTTGATATAAATTATGGCTTAAATCTCTGAAATAAGAATTAACACTGGTTAAAGAGATATGATAGTGTGGATGCATGTAACGTCAATCGAATCAACGTTGTTGGCAACTAGGCACTAGAGAGAACGATAGAGAAAGATTACGCTCGCTTATGTTTATGAAAAAAGGGGGAAAGGGGGGTCTCGTTGAGAAGGGAGCGGCTCCACACAACTTAGATACCATGATGGATCGCTGAGATGCATGACACATAGACAGATGGCATAACAATAAAATACTTGATAATAGGAAAGAAGAACAATCATGACGAACAACGCTTCATGCGAACTGTCAAAGCCTATATTTGTGAATTTGATAGTAACTAGTAAAACGAATCTGGCTGATAAAACTTATGCTGAACAGCTGATGCATGTGAAATGCGAGTGATGGTCGTGAGGAAGGAAACATTAAAAACATCAAAATAGTTGTGATTTAACAGTGATCATATTCAGGCTAAGGTGAAAGCATTAATTTGCCGACACCAATCGACACTCGGTGTTTGCGTGGATCACAGAATGGGAAGCAATGGGCCGTGTATATGAAAAATTCGTCTTCAGATGACAATAACGAGAGTCAACCAAAGATGAACTCCTGATGAGCAACAAAAGGATGAACGTAGTGTTCATCGCTAGCTAAACGCTATATACTATACTACACAACATTAAAAGTTTGGAAACGTATACGCTTCGATAAGAACAAAAAATAATTCAATGGAAAGAAAGAAGAGATGAAACCAGCATACGGATTTTGTTACAATTTGTGCGCATCATGAATGATATTCAAAATGAAAAATACTGACTGATTTACTAGTTCTAGAATTTTAAAAAAAAGTATCATATGTTATTAATGCCTTAAACGATGAGATAAGATCGAAAGCTCCAGTTCATACGCGTTTGCTCATCGACGACTGGGGAGGCTGCGGAGCCTCCAAAATCTAAAACAATGGAGTTTAGTAATTACTCGCATTGAGCAAAGTCGACCGGAGATGCAAATGAAATTCTGAATCTACTTTCAAAATCCAAGAGTTTATTTTGTTGTTCAATTTTTCATTACAGAGGTGAAGTAACCTTTAACAACTTATTTCCTAATGAACTTTGAAACAAACCTAGAGAGGGGAAAGGAACTTAAACAACTAGGAGACTCAAAGTGAGATGTGCTCCTTAAGATAAAACACCTCGTTGTTTCTCACCTCGACAATGAACTTTGCCATGCTGAATTGCTTTTCATCTCTAGCACTATTGAGAAAGGGCATGGCCATAAGTTCAGGATATTTTGGGCGTTCATGCGGATCCTTCTCCAAGCTGTAAAAATATCCTTCTTTCCTAACTCTTTTTTAATTGTCGTCGAGATAGGAAAGTCAGCTAACCAGCGTTTAACAAAATACTGGCAGTCAGCGGAGAATGAGCCGTCAGAAGGCAATCGAGGAGCTGGTTCGTTGACAACCTGAAAAATCAAATTCTAGGAGCCATAAATTAAGCCTTTCTACAGCAAACTAATAGAATTCTTATTCACCTGACTAAGCTGTTGAAAAACATTTACCCAAGTATGGTATGGATAATTACCAGTAGCGATTTCGACCTGAACCATGGTGATAGGTAAAATATCAGCCGTCCCATGTTTGCTAACTGCTTCCATATCATACTCACCAGTGTTATGCCAAGGCTCCACACGTCCGCTCTGACGTCGTATGAGTCCTTCATATCCCCCTCAATTCGTTCCGGAGGCATATAAAATTTACAACCAGCAGCGACTGTCTAAATGAATAGAAAATAGAAAATGCCTTGATTTGATGGAAAGCTAGTCACCTTGGCAAGACTATTCGTAAGATGTCCCGAAATCCCAAAGTCGCAGATCTTTACTTGCCCATGTCGATTTAGCAATATATTCGAAGGTTTCACGTCTCGATGAATCAGGTTCATTTCCTCTTTCATAAAGTTTAGACCTTCCACAACCTGAAAAAACTAAACAATCTCAAAACATATTGAAAACACTTTGAGCGTGACCCACCGACAGTGTAACCTTGGCGATGAAGGGCTCTGGTAGTTTACGACCAAGGGCAAAACATTTCTTGTAGAATTTGTCTAAAGATGTATCCATAACTTCCATACAAATCCATACATCTCCTTCACGGAACATAGCACCGTAAAACCGCACCATCTGAAGAAGAACAAGAGATATGCATTTACACAACCATTTTTTTCCTGGAAGAAGACTCTAAAAGAGATTAGATACCAACAAGGAGGATATGATGTTTGCTATGATATAAGCTTTTTCATGCAAATGTATGCTGAAAAAAAATGACAAAAGTCTAAAAAGGACTAACCTGAGGACAACAATCACTCCTCTTGCATGCATCCAGTTCGGTCAACATCCGCTTTTGAGATTCATCATTGATAGAAGATGAGATCCGCTATAATATTTCTACTTTTAAAACAAATTATTTGACTGAACTAGCAAAAGTCTTTGTTGAAGACTAGCTCCACGACTGCTTAATCTACTATGCATACGCAAGGAAAAAAAAATCATTGGACTTACCTTAACTGCCATGATGATACCGGATTGCCGATGTCTCATCTTATCAACTACTCCATAGCCACCTTTACCCAATTCTTCGAGAACCTAAAGACTAT